CAGCAACAAAAGTTAGAAATTCACTTTTATATTAAATGAAAGCTGAGATCCTGGTGTAATCACATGACTCCGAGAGCAGAGGCCCTAGGCACAGGCCTATAATTCATCTGTCTTGGTCTAGCCCTGACTGCATGTGTTCACTGTAATTTAAAAGCAAGTCACATGTAGTGTAATCAAGGCATGAGGGATTTAAAACATCCCCAGGTGCAGGGAACCTGACCACAGTTTACCCTGATTTAGAACTTCCTGGCTTTCCAGTGTTTGGAATTTATTTTTAAGCTTCAATTTCCTTGTAAGGGTTTTACCCCCTTAAGTTACTGATACACATTTACAGTATTTACTCTCGCATACCACAAGGTTTGGTTTTGTTTTTTTTTGGAGTTTTTTGTTTGTTTGTTTGGTCTGGAACATGAGCTATAGTTTTAGTACAAATTGCCGAGACTTCAAGACTGGACACTTATGGGGACTTGAAAAATAAGCATGTGCAATATGTGCTTTTGCAATGCAAAGTATTGCATTATGTACCTCGTGTGCTTTCCAAAGTCCACTTCCCCTTCAATAAGAAAGTCTCAGGACCAGGGAGAGATCTTAAAATAAACAGCAAGAGGAATTCTGAAGAACACTTTAAATATTATAAGGAGTGTCTATTAGTGTTGCTATTAAAAGACTGTAAGAGGGAGATCCTGGAAGTGGGAATAACTACCTTCAGGCAGCTGGTGTACTGATACCAGCACTTATCATTTTAAGCAGTAGCATCTCGTTGTTTCCTTGTGCTCTCCTGTCTGTATCCACCTGTTGTCTTATACTTAAATTGTTAATCTTTGGGGCTGAGACTGTGTTTTTGTTCTGTGTTTGTACAGTGCCTTGCACAATGTGGCCATGGTCCATGACCGGGGCTCCTCATCACTACTGCTATATAAATATTGATAATACATAATGGAAAGAGAACTGCCAGTGTTTTGAAAATAAAAGTATATCTCTCTTGCAGTATTACAACAGACAGTCTGCTAGCATGAGCAAAGGGTCTGTCATTGTTTCCAATATAAGCCCAAATGTGGAAAAATTTAATTTTAGAGGTATGAAAGGACTAAAAAAGTCACTGTGGCTGGAAATGTAGCATTCAGTTGTCCTAGTAAAATCATTTGGGAGAAGAAACAGGACTAGATTTGGATATAAACTTTGTATTTCTATACCCGGCAGAACCAAAATCATGCATTTGAATTGTAGATCTTACCTTAGTATCTATCCAAGTGACAGCCATAACCTCAGATCCAACCACTTCTGCACTTGGGGGGTTGAAATCCACTGCCAAGTTTAAACCTCCCCAAGCAAAGCAAGTATAGATTTGGGGCCAGATCTTCAGATGATGGAGCTATGCCGATTTACCCCACCTGAGAATCTGGCCCTTCATATTCCATTTAGTCCATTGCAGAGGTAGTTTTGAGCTGTGAATGTGGTTCTGAATCTGGTTCCAGGAATTGATGTGGGATTTGGTTCAAGCTCTTCTCTAGGCATGTTCTAACAAACACATTTCATGCTTTTAAACTGACCTGAATCTCAAAAATCTGCAAGTAAACTAGTTTCTTTTCTTTCTCCCCCCCGCAACCCCCATCTTCTGAGTTATTTCTAGCAAATGAAATGTTACACTCCATTAGGGCAGAATATAAACTGGAGGCTTTTGCCTATTGAGCTTTTAGTTAAAAGAAACTAAAGGTTTGAAAACCATTGGTTGTGGTTTTTGTTTTTAAATGTTTTCATTGTTTTTAGCATAAAAAACCTAAGAAACAGAATCACACGTCATCATGATCCAGGAATATTCCACTGTCATTTCATGTACACCATTGTCCTTCTGGCGCCTTGTGACAGGGACTATCTCTCAATACAATCGAGGACTGATTTTTATTTGGGATTCTGGGAGGTCCCACAATACAGGAGGTAAATAATAATCCATGTAATTTATACCTTGTTAGTGCCCATCACAACTGAAGGTTAATTCTGGTTGGAGCCTCTGTGTATTTCCACAATATAGTCTATAATAATCCACATACCTTAGACCATGTTTAACCAACAAGTGCCCCTTCCTCTTCCTTGTGTGCGCACAGAACTCATTCATTGCTTTCCACTCTCTAGGAGTACACAGGTGAGTATACCGCCCCTGCTGGTTTATATGCAGTCTGAAGTAAAAAAATGTCCATGTTTTGAGACAGGTACAAATATAATAACCAAATGCATTGGCTTTAATGGATACAGGATCAGGCCCCAGTTCCTGAGCCACAGTACAATTCCTTTTCATGAACCACATAGATTCATAGACTTTAAGGCCAGAAGGGACCATCATGATCATCTAGTCTGATCTCCTGCACATTGCAGGCCACAGAACCTCACTTACCCACTCCTGTAATAGACCCATAACCTCTGGCTGAGTTACTGAAGTCCTCAAATCATGAATTAAAGACTTCATGTTACAGACAATCCACCATTTACACTCATTTAAACTTGCAAGTGACCCGTGCCCCATGCTGCAGAGGAACTCGAAAAACCCTCAGGGTTTCTGCCAATCTGACCCAAGGGAAAATTCCTTCCCAATCCCAAATATAGCAATCAGTTAGAGCCTGAGCATGCTGGCAAGACCCACCAGCCAGTCACCTGGGAAAGAATGCTTTGTAGTAACTGAGAGTCCTCCCCATCTAGTGTCCCATCACCAGCAGCTGGAGATATTTGCTGCTAGCAGTTGCAGATCAGCCACATGCCATTGTAGGCAGTCTCGTCATACTATACCAGTCTAATTTCAAGCCAAACTTGTTGATGGACAGTTTATATCCCAAACCTGAATTTAAGTATGTAATTAAATGCTTTGCTGGCTTGGATCCATTCCAAAATTCATTTCCTATGATTCAAACTATGCCATCTTGCCTGTCAAATGGTGTCTTCCTGTTTGATTGTTCATTATTCTTTTTATTACAGTTTAGGGCCAAGTCAGTGGAAATATTCCCATTGACTTCAATAGGCATTTCATCCAGACCTTCAAAAGATGATGACTTCCATGGGACTGAATGTGTTCAGAACCCCTCAAGAGGTCTTAGCACCTTGCTCAATCAGGAGTGGGAGAAAAGGTGAAAAATAACTTCTCTTTGGAATGACAGTAATTTGGAATAAATGGATCTGAAATTAAAAGAGTATGATGGGTCCTCTTCCCTCTGCTGTTATATAACAAATAAATGAAAGCTCTTTTGAGTGATATGATGGTAAATGAAAAGCGAAGATACTGTATTTTCTATAAACCATGACTACGTACTAAATAATCTTCCACTGTGTAACACTTCTTGATAATTTACGTTAATAACAAATCATTATAATGTCTGTAGCAGGCCATAATTAGAATAATTAATATTCTATTGCAAATAGAATTTTTCTGCTGCATTATGACAAAAGAAAAATTGCTGCAATCTAATGAGATGCCTACACATCTGAATGGTAATTGGGCGTATGTTTCTCCTTTAAATGAGTCAGTTCATCTACAGTATTTCACATTAAGGGTCACCATTACACTCAGCATAATGAAGAATGGTAATTCATTGAAAATACACCAGTTTATCTTCCTAACTATGCAATTTTCCACATTTGTTTTCCATATATTTTCTAACAATCTTTGATACCAAACTAAAATCAAATTTGAAAAAGAGAAGAACAATGGAAACAAGGCAGTGTCAGGGATGACAGGCCATAAAACACAATTTAAAATGCCCCATTTATAAAAATGGGTCCTGTTGTGTCCTTGCGCTCCACACAACATTAAGAATTTGGAGGAAACACTCTGGCACAGCTGGATTCCAAATCACCATATTTATTAACAAGGTACAGATATACAAGACCTAGCTACCAATCGTGCACTGCTGCTCTGACAGGGTTCTGCTGGCTTCTATAATAGAAGACAGGAAGGTACACTATTTAAAGGGATCTTACCCTATTCCTATACACTACAGGTGCCTTGATATTAGGGTGCTCAATTTGAGACCAAGAAGGGGCCTGATTTTCAGAGGATGAGCATGCCAAGCACATTCTGAAATTCAGAATCTTCAAGTTGAGCGCTCCAAAACTGGACACTCGAAATCACTAGTCAATTTGCGGGCCTGAATAGCCACTGCATTACTCCAGTTACATCGGTGTAAAACCCAGACCTCCCATGAAACCTGGGACTGTCCTGCTTTGACCCCAAAATCCCATGTCCTGAGGGGCTGGCTTGGCTAGACTTCTCACTCCAGGCATCATTGCCTGGTACCTAGCACACAAGGTCACAACGTCACTCATGTTTGGCCCATCCTCCCTTCTGTAGATGGAGGCGGAGGGGTGGATGGGCCCAATCTGAGCAATGCTACAACCCCATGCACCAGGGCCCAGGTTGCAACACCAAAGGTGAGGAGCTGAGCCCAGCCAGCCCTGCGGGACAGGAGCCATAGGAGCTATTGCTGCGGGGTGAGTACACAGTGGGCTTGCTCTGCAGGCCCCACCAGAGGGCAGCACCTGGGCCTCCACCAGGGCCTCCACCGGGGCCTCCCAACATCTGGGGACAGCAATTCAAATGTTGGGAGATATGAAAACCCCAGCACAACAGGGTCCTTAAACATGTGCCTAATTGTAAGTACATGAGCTTGCAAACACATCTCACACAAATGGACCTATTGAGGTCTACTCATGTGGTTACAGTTATGCATGTGCTTAAGTACCTTGCTGAATCAGGACCTACCACTGTAGTACCACAGTACCCTCTCCACTGGTTCTTGTAACGCAGACTGAAAGCAAAAGACCAGAAGTCCGAGGTGCAGGCAATGTGATGTTTATTGGGGTTAGTTTCCAACAAGCATATCCATAACTCTGACACTGCAGAGCCTTGTTTTCCAGTGTTCCGTCCGCCCCCCTTCTTAGCAGGCATAATTATACCTGCAATGCCCGCCCCTACTCCCACCTCTTACAATTTATAGTCATGTTCCGTTTTAGAGGGTCGAGCAAATGTGGTTGTATCATAGAGCTTGGCTTTAGACAATGGATCATGTGGTGTGGTCAGGGTGAAAGCTGGAGGCATGTAGGTAGAAATAGCGGTCAGTAGGTTTCCGGTATAGGGTGGTGTTTATGTGACCATTGCTTATTAGCACTGTAGTGTCCAGGAAGTGGATCTCTTGTGTGGACTGGACCAGGCTGAGGTTGATGGTGGGATGGAAATTGTTGAAATCATGGTGGAATTCCTCAAGGGCTTCTTTTCCATGGGTCCAGATGATGAAGATGTCATCAATATAGCGCAAGTAGAGTAGGGGCATTAGGGGACGAGAGCTGAGGAAGCGTTGTTCTAAGTCAGTCATAAAAATGTTTGCTCCAACCCCTCAGACAGAGACAAACACCTACAAGATTTTTATCAAGCATTCCTACAACTACAATACCCACCTGCTGAAGTGAAGAAACAGATTGACAGAGCCAGAAGAGTACCCAGAAGTCACCTACTCCAGGACAGGCCTAACAAAGAAAATAACAGAACGCCACTAGCCGTCACCTTCAGCCCCCAACTAAAACCCCTCCAACGCATTATCAAGGATGTACAACCTATCCTGAAGGACGACCCATCACTCTCACAAATCTTGGGAGACAGGCCAGTCCTTGCCTACAGACAGCCCCCCAACCTGAAGCAAATACTCACCAGCAACCACATACCACACAACAGAACCACTAACCCAGGAACCTATTCTTGCAACAAAGCCCGTTGCCAGCTGTGCCCACATATCTATTCAGGGGACACCATCACAGGGCCTAATAACATCAGCCACACTATCAGAGGCTCTTTCACCTGCACATCTACCAATGTGATATATGCCATCATGTGCCAGCAATGCCCCTTTGCCATGTACATTGGTCAAACTGGACAGTCTCTATGTAAAAGAATAAATGGACACAAATCAGATGTCAAGAATTATAATATTCATAAACCAGTCAGAGAACACTTCAATCTCTCTGGTCACGTGATTACACACATGAAAGTTGCGATATTACAACAGAAAAACTTCAGAAACAGACTCCAATGAGAGACTGCTGAATTGGAATTAATTTGCAAATTGGATACAATTAACTTAGGCTTGAATAGAGACTGGGAGTGGTTGAGTCATTATAAAAAGTAACCTATTTCCCCTTGTTTATTCCTTCCCCCTCCCTGCCCCTCACTGTTCCTCAGACGTTCTTGTTAAACCCTGGATTTGTGCTGGAAATGGCCCACCTTGATTATCATACACATTGTAAGGAGAGTGATCACTTTAGATAAGCTATTACCAGCAGGAGAGTTGGGTCGGGGGAGAGAAAACCTTTTTTTGTGATAAACACCCATTTTTTCATGGTCTGTGTGTATAAAAACATCCTCACTTTTTTTCATGGTCTGTGTGTATAAAAACATCCTCACTGTATTTTCCACTTTATGCATCCGATGAAGTGAGCTGTAACTCACGAAAGCTTATGCTCAAATAAATTGGTTAGTCTCTAAGGTGCCACAAGTACTCCTTTTCTTTCTATAATATCTGGTTTCACTTCCTGCACCAGTCGCTCTAGTTCCTCCATTTTGTTACCTAGGCTCCTCGCATTGGTGTACAAACATCTTAATTTTTGCTGTTTGGCCTCACTCACATTCTGTACCCGACTAGGCATGGTCATTCTACATCCAGTATAACCTATTAGACTGGTATCCACACTGCCCTTCCTCCTTATATCCATTCTCCTACCCACGGTTGTATCCTTTCTTACTTCGTTTTCTTCCCTCTCAATGCTAAAATCCAGCTTGGAGATTACCTGGACATCTCCCAACCATCTCCCCCAGATTCCTAGTTTAAAGCTCTCTTAATCAGTTGTGCCAGCCTCCATCCTAGAAGTCTATTTCCTTCCCTACTCAGATGAAGTCCATCCCGAGAGATCTGTCCTCTGTCCATGAATGCCTCCCAGTGGCCATACATCCCAAAGCCCACTTTATAGCACCACTGCCTATGCCATCTGTTGATAGTCATAATTTTGTCACACCTTTGTTGTCCTTCTCTAGGAAGAGGCAGAATCCCACTGAAAATCACCTGAGCCTCAATTTCCTTAAGCGCCTTCCCCAGCCTAGCATAGTCTCCCTTAATATTTTCCAGCGAGAATCTAGCCGTATCATTTGTTCCCACATGAAGGATAATTAAGGGATTCTTTCCCGCTCCCTTTAGGATCCTTTTCAACCTCAGGTCTACATCCCGTATCTTAGCACCTGGAAAACAGCACACCTTTCTATTCTCTGGATCAGCTCTGGTTACAGGCCTGTCTATTCTTCTCAGTAAAGAGTCCCCGATCACATAGCCTTTTCCTGGTGATGGTGCTATTCTCCAGTCTATCCCCTGTTCCCTCTGGCTGCAAATTCTTTCCATTCCTATTCTCCCTTGTAATCCTCTTCAACCCATCCTGTATCCTCCTGGGGCTCATATTTGGTGTAGTCTCCATTGACTCTTCCCCTTTTTCTATAGGACTAGCTGCTCTTCTCTTCTTCCTTGCCCTTCCATCTTCAGTGACTACCTGCTAAGCCCCTTCTTCATTTTCCAACTCTACAAACCTATTCTTGAGCTCTATTTCCCCTTCACTAGCCCGTCTTTTCCTCTGCCTGGTTCTTTTAGTCACATGCTTCCACTGACCGCTTTCCTCGCCCAGTGTCCCCTCAGAATTCCTCAGTCCTGCTTCCATCTGCAAGTCTGAGCTTTTCCTTTCAGATACCTCATGTCTTTGCTCCATAATCCGCCTGAACCCCTTTCTAAACTCAACCAGACTTTCCACCTGCATCTCCAAACCTCGGATCTTTTCCTCCATCAGCTCTATCAGATGGCATTTCATGCAGACAAAACTCTTACCAGGCACCCCCTCCAAGATCATGTACATACTGCAGCTTCCATATCCAGTCATCTTCATTGTGTCTTCCACTACATGGATCACTCTCACTGCTGCCTCTGTATCTGTCATAGCCTTCTCACCTAAATCCTGTTAATCTGGGAAACACAAACCACACCAAAACACCACCACCCACAGCAAAAACAAACCCCAAACAAGCACCACAATACAAACTCCCACTGAAACTCCCCTGTTTACAGCTCTGTTTGCTAGCTCCTGGCAGCTACAGCTGTCTGTGTGAGGTTGTGCTACAGTCAGGGACAGGTATTTCTCTGGCTTTTTAGTGTTTTATACCATCCCCCACAATCCTCCCTTGCCCCTCCCAATTGGTTACTTGACCTTGCCTTGAGACAGGAGTTGAGGCAGTCTTCAAGTGTGTGCTGGTATATTATACTTCCACCATGCCCAGTAACACTTTAACCGTTCTTATCTGTTCCCATTATACTAACAAACCCGATCTGATACCAGTCAGCTCTGTGTTCTTAGGGAACCAGGCACAGTATTCAGCCTGTCTGACTCCTGAAGGACCGCCCCCCGCCCCAAACTCTGCCACTGAAAAGTCCTCCTTGCAGAAGATAGAATAAGAATAAATCAATGAAAATGAGAGGGGAAAGGGTAGGAGTGGAATCACAGACATTTTACATGCTTGTTCTCAGATTGAAGACATTTTAAGAACAAGAGAAGCTGACTGAAATATAGGTAAGGTAAGAAAAACACAAATTCTGAAAGGATGTCAACCTTTATGACTCAGTGCATTGCACAGCTTCCTATTGATTCATCCGAACAACCAGACTAGCTGGGTCTCACTGACTCTAACTCAGAGGCTGTAAATAATAAGAGAAAACCCTTTACTGATTTTAAGAAACATATGTATATATAGAAACTGGGGCTCAGTCTTGCAAACTCTGGCTCATGTATGCAGGCCCATTGATGTCAATAGGACAATTCATCTGAGTAATCCTTATTCATGGAGATGAGTGTTTGCAGGGTCAGGGTTCTGCTCTGGATTCTTGTCCACATCAATATGTTTTCTAGCTCACAAGAGCTAAGCGGATCAGCATAACAGGAAGTCAGAACACCATGTATGCAACTCCATATAAACCAGACCCACTTAGTAGGTCTCATTCAGAGTCTACAGTTCTCAATAGTTCCCCTTCATCTTTAATTCTGGACAATACATTGGGCAATTATTTTATTGATGGTTATTATTGTTGTCATACAGAGCTTTCTGTAAGCAGAGAAGGGAGAAGAGCTGAAAGCTCCATGAGGTACACCAGGAATCTTACTCCTTGGTTAATAAAGTATCTCAGATATTACAGGAATGGGCAGGAGAACAAAATCCTAAAACTTTCATTTTGTTCTGTGTTTGTACAGCACCTAGCACAACAGGGTCCTGGTCCATAATTAAGGCTCCTCAGTGGTACTGCAATCCAAATAAATAATAGATATGGGCAGATAAATAATAAATACGCCCCAGCTGGAGTCGATCTAGAACAGGACATCCAACTAAATTACATATTGTCATTGTCCTATGAAAATTTCACTCAGGGATTAGGTTGCTCTGTGTGCCCCAAAGTGTCTTTCAACCATAAAGTTTCCAAATGCTTTTTAAACTGTGCATATACAGGGATCACTCTCATACATTGAATAGGCCCTATCTTTTGACTGGATCATGAAAGTGATGCTACAACAATTTCATGCAACAGGATTTTAGGAGACGTGCAAACAATCCTTTTCACCTGATGCCTGAGGGGAAAATTTAGGCAAGTGGAATTTAATTACCCATGATGGAGTTAGGTTGATAGCTACTATGTCCTAGCCATATTCTTGCAGAAAAGTGGGCTCTCTAATGAGAATGAGTGGTATGAACCTCACCTAGTGACAGGAATTTTTGAAATGCTTAAATTATACTGTATGGAGAGTGTATATCTCAGAAGGCTCTGACCTAGTGGAGAAAGGCATAACAAGAACCAATGGCTGGAAGTTAAAGCCAGACCAATTCAGATTACATTTTTTTTTTAAATAGTGAGGGCAATTAACTTTTGGAACAAACTACCCAAGGGAAGTGGAAGATTCTTCATCTCTTGAGGTGTTCAGATGAAGACTGGAGGCTTTTCTGGAAGATATGTTTTAGTCCAACACAAGCTATGGGGCTAAATACAGTGGTACGTATATGAAATTCTCTGGCCCGTGTTATACAGAAGATCAGACTAGATGATCTAATGGTCCCTTCCAGCTCTAACGTTTATGATCTAGCAACTGGAAAATGGTGCCTTGAGACATGAAATCCGCTGACACCATTCTAGGGCATTAGCCATGTCCTTATTCTGAGGAAAGGGTTCTTCCTACTGAATCACTAACCCCACTTTCCACATGTTGTGGGTGCGCCAGGGAGACCTTCCATAAAAGCAGTGGTCTGGCCTGATTAATTCTGAGATCTAACGAATCACTTAATGTCATTGTTCTGTGAAAAAAATTTACTCTTGGCTCTCCATTTGTTAGCCAACACAGGAGACCCGCTTGCTGATGTGCCAAACGCAGGACATTCAAATAGCTGGGGTCTGTTTAAAAACATGATAAGAATCAGTGGAGCCATTCTTGTGCAACTATAACTTTCAAGAGAAATTTCAGTTCACAACAGTTCAGCGAGGCCACTAATCCACCTGTGATTAACAAGCAAAGTTCACTGCTGCTCGCAAGTTGAAGCAAGTAGATACTAATCTCAGTCTCGGCACACCAGCGTCATTCTGTGCAGACACCGTGCCGAATGTTTATTCCCCTCCCCCACCCCCGCTGTTCCTCAAACGTTCTTGTCAACTGCTGGAAATGGCCCACCTTGATTATCACTACAACAGGTTTCTCCCGCCCCTCCCGCCCCCGCTCTCCTGCTCGTAATAGCTCACCTTACCTGATCACTCTCATTACAGTGTGTATGGTAACACCCATTGTTTCATGTTCTCTGCGTATATAAATCTACCCACTGTATTTTCCACTGAATGCATCCGATGAAGTGAGCTGTAGCTCACGAAAGCTTATGCTCAAATAAATATGTTAGTCTCTAAAGTGCCACAAGTCCTCCTTTTTTTTTTTTTTTTTTTTTTGTATTTTCATTGTTATTGCCCTGAAAATGAGCTAGATGCTTTCCAAATACAGATGAAGTGACCGGCAATTTGGAAGCAGAGACACTCCTGAAAACTAGGGAGGAAAGCATGTCAGGGGAAGGACAGGATATGTAGAGGAATCACTGTAGAACAGACCCAACTACTTCTTCCAATTATTATTTATTTGTATTAGAGTTGTCCCTAGAAATCCCGCACAAGGTTGAGGCCCCATTGTGCTAGGCAGTTTACACATTTGTAGTAAGTCCGGAAGAGCAGAGGGTGTGATGGGAAACAGAAGCAGAGAGCTGACATGACTTGGCCAAGCCATGCAGTGGGTCAGTGGCAGAGCTGAGCGTAGAACTCAGATCTCCGTGGAACTCCTCTTTCCGTCTCAGCTTTTATTCCCTCCAAACATTATGGTACATTTCAAACTCAGCATCATTTCCAAATGGCTTCAGTGAAGCCATTTGCATATTGTAGTTCCTTTTAGCAGAAGCGCCTGCACGCAGCTCCTGCTCCTTTACGTACAATGTTGAGTAGTTCTCCGTCTCTCTAGACCCAGCTACAGCTCAGGGCTACTTTCCCAGTCCTACCAAATGTTTACAGAAATAGAACTCCAGCTCCCAACACCCCCAGACTATGAGGAAGTTTGAATCTAGAGCCCAGTTCTGTGGCTCTTGTCCTTCTCTACAAGTTATAGAACAGTACATACAGGGCCAGATCTTCAGCTAGTGTAAATGAAGTCAATAGGGTGATGTTGATTTATACTAGCTGAGGATGTGGTCCATGGTGTACAATCATACATTATGCAATGGTTCTATAGTGCGGAAGAAACCGCCATGAAGAGCTAGTACAAGACTACTGAATTCATTTTTAAAAACATCACTTTTAAAGCAATTTCTGATCTTCTTTTGTTTCTAACTATAAGACCCACAGCTCATCACTCACCTTTTCATAATCCCTCCAGTAACTCCCTTGTTCCACCTAACCCTGGTATATGTCCGCGGTCTTGCCTCTGTTCAGAGGCCCTTCCTCAGCTGGAAACACCTTTTAAACAGGAAAGAAAATTATTTGATTCCAGCTAACTAAATACAGACAGTTCCCCAGAAAAACAGGAAGAAAAACAAAGATTACTTCTTAATCTTTACCCAGGCTGAGTTCCTCCTGCAGGCTTGCCTAGACAATATTTTTAAACAACTTTGATCCTACTGGAAGCTGAATTGGCAGTAGTTTGCCATGGAATGTGTGTCAGAATGTCTGAATGAGGATTCAATGAAACAATTTGGAAAACGTAATACGTAAGGACCATCCAACCAATAGAGACTGGCTATTCTTCCCAACCAGTGAACTCCAATCTGCCATTTCTCTCTCTCTTCCCTCCCGCACTTCCTAGGTCAGGGATCGGCAACCTTTGGCACGCGGCCTGTCAGGGAAATCCACTGGCGGGCCAGGACAGTTTGTTTACCTGCAGCGCCTGCAGGTTCGGCCGATCGCAGCTCCCACTGGCCGCGGTTCACCGTTCCAGGCCAATGGGGGCTGCAGGAAGCAACGGCCAACACATCCCTCGACCCACGCTGCTTCCCACAGCCCCCATTGGCCTGGAACGGCGAACCGCAGCCAGTGGGAGCTGTGATCGGCCAAACCTGTGGATGCTGCAGGTAAACAAACTGTCCCAGCCCACCAGCCGATTTCCCTGATGGGCCGCGTGCCAAAGGTTGTTGATCCCTGTCCTAGGCTGTCACCTCATCCATCTTTGTTGCTTCTGTTATAGGAGCCAGCAACATCTCTGTTGGACTCTGGTTGTTAGCCAATTCAAATCATGCTCACTCTGGGATACACAGTGTGCTCTGGGGTACATAACCCCCACAGCAAGTGGGATTTGAAGTAAGCAGCATCAGAGGCCCCCCAGACCCACTGGCAGAATTGATGGGCCCCATGATGGGAAACTTCAATAGATGCTTGCAACCCAGCTGCTTTTGAAGGTCTGTGGAAAGGGAGGGAGGGAAGTCAGGATTTATCGATGTGTCAGAGAGGAGAAATAAACAAAGTAGCAATTGGAGCTTTCCAGTTGGATGGGGGAGCTAGGAAATGAGTGGAGGGTTTGTAAAGAAGAAGCCTCATAAAAAGCCAGATTAGAGATGGGTCTCAGCCACAAAGCTCAGATCCAGATGTTGTTGCATCTAGCGTCTTGATTTGGGTCCACTTCTAATTCAGAAAAGGCTTCCGAAAAGGAAAACTGCTTATCTCGGGTGAAACAAACCTGAGGCAAGTTTAGGATGCACCAGGCAAATATATCTCCATTCCAGCCCCAGAAGACTTTGCTGATTATACCTGTTCAATACAGAGTTAAATCGCAACTAGAACAACAAACTAAGGGGCCAAGGCTGCAAGCCTTACCCAAGTTGCCTCAGCAAAGTCAACAGGCCTACTTTTGAGAGTCAGGCTCACTCATATGAGGATTTGCAGGATTGAGCCCTCTTGCTTCTGTACGTCTCTGAACAAACAGAAATAAAACCAGAGAAGCCCTGGTTGTGCTCCTCAAAGGGAAAAGAGTTTATCCCTCTTACAGAAATACAAGTCTGGTTAGAATGCCAAAGCGTGAGAATCTTTATAGACAGGTTTCAGAGGAACAGCCGTGTTAGTCTGTATTCGCAAAAAGAAAAGGAGTACTTGTGGCACCTTAGAGACTAACCAGTACTCCTTTTCTTTTTATAGACAGGGAAAGCAACGAATTTTGTCTTTTCACCTGTTTGCAAGAAAATGAAACTTCTTTATTTCTGCCACCACCACTTTATGTCACTTCGCTACGGTGAACTCACCCTACCCCATAGCTATAGTACAGCTATAGCATGGCATGGAGAGGAGCAATTGAGAGAGATTTGTAAAGACATTCCGGTGCAGGAGTAGAAGAGGAAATAGGAACGTGCTTTTTAGTAACCCTGAAATGCACTCAGCTCAGCGAATACTTTGGAGAAGGAGCGTAAAGATGAAAAATTCTTTGCCCTTCGCTATCATCTTTAATTTGAGAATGTGAAAATGCTTCACAGATATTTACTAATGTAGATTTATCGCGACCCTTCTTTTCAAAGAAAAGCAGTGGGATATTTTCAGGCATTAACGGAATACAGCAGTTCTTCAACAGGGCATAGCAATGCTGTGTAGGGACCTGATCCAAAGCCCAAGTCAGAGTCTTTTCATTGATTTGTATGGTCACAGGATCACAGTGCAGGGCATGATGGGAAGACAGGTTCATCTACTTCACCACTGCATTATTCTAATTTTATACCAGTAATTCTCCTGGAAGTCAATAGAGTTAGTTTCATAAAACTGGAGAAATGCAAAAGTAAATCAAGCCCTGACACCAACTGAAAGTGGAGGGGGAATAAAAGCACTTGGATGAATATTCATAACCCCCTTTTGAAGTTAGGACACTGAGGTTAACACCCCTATTCTTTTCATTTAGGGTCAGTTTTTTTTAAAAAAAAAAACACCTTGGAATATTGGGTGCCAAACTCTGATCATGTGGCCATAAGCGTCAGAGTCAGAGCTACTGCATGCTGAGTTCTTTTGAAAAACCTGGCCCCAGTTCTGAGCGCTGAGAATTTGGAAATATGGCCCCACATGAACATATGTGGTCAAGATATTGGTTTTACCTCTCATCTGAGAAACACCTTTCTATGACCATGCTGGCCCATGGAATCAGAAGGAAGAATGCCACCTACCAAATCACAGACATCACAGAGATGGTTCTTGGAAGTCTTCATATCCAAGCAGTGATACTGAATAAACACACTTAGTTTTTGATGGCACAAGATCCCAATGCAAGGTAATCAGAGTGCCAGCCCTGTGTTACATTTTTGTGCCTGCTAAGAATAGGACTTTTCCTTTCCAACTAAGGACACCCGGTGTGATTGTGACTAGAAGCCTTGGCACAGATCCATTAGCTTTCAAGTCACCAGGCTGACGTGAACAAGAGAGGCCCTTAATTTTTGCAACTCAGACACTGGTGCAAAGTCCTCTGGGTATTGGAAGGTGATGAGACAATCTCACCATCTTTTCTTCAGCCTACCCCATTGCTTTTGGTCTGCACTCCCTCTGCGGAATTAACACACACTCTTCATTCCCGGCTGGTGTTGCTGAGAATGCCAATGATCAAAATTCCTTCTGATCTGTACTTTTCTGCCCTGCCTGTCCCAGACACAGCCAGCCTCAGACAGATAGTGCAAAAGACTTCTAAGCTAGTTTAGAAAATGCTGGCATGGAAACTCAGTTTTTTGTTTAATAATAATGCAGATCTGACTCAGAGGTTCACTTGAAAGCAATTAAACAACCACCAGTTATTTCTTAGGGGTCTCAGTCTCCCGGAAAGTCCAGTGTGACAGTCCCGCTGATCTTCCTGGTGGCTACTGGGCAATCCCAGCCAGACCAGGCATTGTTTTCACTGCATGGCTACTGCTGGTTTGTCAACACCTGCCTGTTGCCAACTCACCAGTGCCAAGTTTCCTTTCCTGCCAGTTTCACTATGTTCATTTCTTAGCAAGTGCTGTAAAATGGGCTATAGATTGTTATTTTTTACAGTTATAGCCTTATGGGTTTTATGACTTCAACTCTTGGCGTTGATCCAGAAATGCTTACTCATGTGAGTAATCCTAGTTACATCAGTCATTTGGCCCACTCACAAAGGTAAGAACTGCAAGACTGGGCTTTTACTGTTTCCTGCAGACAGGTCTAATCTACCAGCCATTAAACCCTACCAAATGCACAGGGCTTATTTTCTAGTTCGATGTTTCATACTATTTATAAACAACTCAAGCTGAGTTTTAGATTTTAGTCCTGCTGGCTGAGAATACCAAGAATACTTTTTTCTGTCCACCCAGGAAGACTGACTTATTAATGCTGCTAACCAAGTAGTAGCCTGAATCAGGAGGCTCAGGCATGTGGACTAGAACAGGGCGTGCAGATGCTTGTTTTGAATTCCCCTATTTATGTAAAGGCACACTGCAGAAGAGAACTCAGTGCATAAGGTAGAGGCAGGATACAATTTTCATCTTTGTTCCCAGAACCCACACACCAGCGCTTTGCAAAAAACTTTCAAAGCATTCTGGGTAGTGACAGGCACTGAATTTTAGATTTGTCGTCAGTCTCCAGTAAAATGATATTTATTGCATTGAATTACAGTGTCTTGAGTCAGGCACTGGAAGACTTTTGGGCACCTAATAAAATAGATATGTTTGTAAGTATGTCATAGCAATGCTGGTGTCAAGGCCCTGTGAACTAATACATTACAAAGGTCCCCTATGTCTTATATAAGATAGCCTAGTAAACAGATATTGCAGGTTAAAAGGCAACATGATTCAATAAACATCAATATGTTCCTCACCGCCACCACCTTCACGCAGTGATGAGCTGCCAAAATCTTAACAACCGGTTCCCTATAAAAAGTTCTGATTTAAGGGATGTGCCCCAGTATGTATTTTTTGTACCAACAGGGTTACCACAGGTCTGTATTTTCCCGGACGGCGATTTAAGAACCAAAAAGCCTGACCTGTCCAGGAAAATATGGATGTATGTTAACCCTACCTAAAGTTCTTTTTTAAAAAGATGGGCCTGAACTAGAAATGAGCTCTGTTTCACATGTGTGGGTCCCCGACACTCCCTGTGGGTGTGCTAGGGTGACCCGATGTCCTGATTTTATAGGGACAGTCCCAATTTTGGGGTTTTTTTCTTATATAGGCTCCTATTACCCCCCACCCCCATCCTGATTTTTCACACTTGCTGTCTGGTCACCCTAGGGTGTGGGTCCCAGCTGCTCCCTGCCCCCCTCATTGAAGCAGGTGTGCAGGGTTACTGCCCTGGGAACTGTAGGGCACCAGTGGACGTGGGACCAGCTGCAGATAGGGGCATGGGGCAAGGCTAGCTGGAGGCAGGGGGTGCAGGGCTGGCTGCGGAGCTGGTTGGAGACAGGAGGGTGCGGGGTTGGCTGG